GTCTCCTTATGCTTCCGAATCCTACAATTATAGTAGCAGGTATAAAGTACTTGACTCAATCCATTTGTGTACAGCCAGCCCCGGTCATCTCATACTGCATAAAAGGAGAAAGAGGAAAACTGATACAAAGCAAACTTATTGTCATTGATGCCTATCCTACACCTCGTTTTCTCCAGCTTTCTCTCCATCATTGTCTGCCTATAAACTGTGAGTGGATTGGGTCAAGAATGGTTTGAAATAATTGCCAGAAGGCCTCAAGTCAAGATATCATAGTTATACAAGTTATGAGAAAGGAATTGCTCCTAGTGGTATCTTATCTTCTTGTGCTTGGAGGTAGTTATCTTTCTGACTCAATGTTTCCAGCCTCTGACTCCCTAGCTTTGGACAATGAAGGACCTTGCGCCTGATCAACAGAATGGCATTGCAACTGCCCCAAATGACACTGAATGGGCCGCCTTGAGCTTCCGGATCTCCGGGGACACTTGGGTCTTTGTTACACCTGGAGACACCACCCCCCCCTGAAATTCCAGGTTTCAGGAAAATCTCCATACCCCCGCCCATTGTAAACTCACCAGAACTATACCCAGACCACACGGCCTATAAATACCCTAGTCTGTAAGGGAACAGACTTGGTCTCCTTTGGTGACGTAAGAGTACCCCTTCCCAGGTTTACTCTCAATAAACCTGCCTGCTGTTGAAACCAAGACTCTCTACCTTCATCTCTTTCTTTTTTTTTCTTACAATGGTGTCACAAAGTCTTACTCCCATTGAGGTACTCTTTGTATCCAGAGGTGATAGTTCAAAGTTGCCCTATCAAGGGAAGGCTTCACTCCTCAGTAACTTGGGTACTATTATCTAAGGTTTCTCCTACCCACGTCCCAGTCCATCAAGTGTACTACCTCAAATTCTATTCCTTTGAGATCAACATTGTTTCCTCTAGAAATCCCCTCTTAACATGGCTAACACCATATCACATCATAACTACATCCATTATGATACATGTTATTGTCAACGGACTTGGAGAATGTTTGCCTGGGTTCTAGTATAAGCATTAACAAGCATGGTGGCTCCATACAAAAAGCACTGTACTGTGAACCACAAAGACAGTGGTCTGAGCTCACTAGCCACTCTGCAGGAGAAAGACAATGCTTTTTGCAAAGATTTAAAACCCTGAAAACCCTATACAGTATTGCCATGAGTCAAAACCGACTCCATGACAATTAAGAATACTTTAAGCTTAAAACCCTAAATCACTGGAAACACAGTCATAACTTTTATGTATATTAAAATAATCCGTGTGACCTACCCAGATTACTACACAGGCAAACTTTAACAAAGCCCAAAGGATTCCTAAAGTTGGTGTAAGCAAATTAGCCACAGGCTCTAAAAGCTTCACTAAATCAGTGTCAGGAAATTCAGCCATAGAGGGCATTTATAAATCATTCTGCTTAGCACCTCTCTGGAGATAAAAGAACCACAGATCTCTGCTACATAGGATTCCCCTGGAATGCGATCTATAAGAATCCGTTTCACTGGCTAATCTAAAGCTAGCCCCTACTACAATGACTATTACGTAGAGGGTACTGGAGGAAGTAAGTCAAACAAATGAATCCAGGAGACTGAAGAGTAAGAGTTGTGTTTAACTCAGTGTCAATGGATACCACAGAATTTTACAGAGAAATAGGTTCCTTTCCCAGTGGACAAGTTTGTCTACATAGGTAAAAAAATCATCTCAAATGAGATGATCATATCTTTTTGAAAAACAAACTATAATAGTTTTTAGCTCAATGTGCTATTCTTCTAGTCTCAAACCATAATGGTCAGACTCAGAACAAGTCTTCTAAGAGCTACAATGCTTACATTTCTTGGCCTATTACTAGCCCAACTGTTTTAATTCCCAAATCTTGGTTCAATAAAATGAGACATGACCATCATCAGGAGCAGCTATATAATTTTAATCTCAAGATTCTGGCATACAGAAAGCATTTTACATAAATTCTCTTGAGTCTTTTAATTATATAATAGGAAATATGGGCCCAAGAAAAATAACTCTCTTCCATACATCTTAATCCTTGGCCTCTGCAGTAAAGACAATACCTGCTAACCCAACAAGTATTTGCTGACCTCTCATATATTACTTGGTAGGGCACGAAGGAATGCTACAGGTCTGTCCCTCATCTTCTCATTGAAGGGCTTGCATAGTCTAAGGCGCAACTTCATGGTCCACGTCCAGTACTTACATACATGGGCCTTTGAATTCTGCATTTTTCATATTTATTGGGATAGCAGTTCGGGTTGGTAGCTTCTAATCTTCCACTCATACAGTTCAATAGGACCATATATTGTAATGAACTTTATTCAGCATTAATTTTGTCAAAAGTTACCTCTTCCTTGGTCATCCTTCAGTGACTAAGTAAGTCTTAATTGCCTGCATTTTCAATGACCCACCTCTAAGGTGGTAGTAAGTTCGTTGTACTCTACTTCAGCCACACTCGATTTTTAAGAATCTTTAGAAGGAAGATTGTTTCACATATAAAGAAAATGTTGCCTGATTAGAGTTGGGATTGAGCTCAACCTAAATCCATCCTGGTCCAACTCCCCTCTGGTTGCTCTGGAGAGAAAAAAGGACATGGATACGTAAGAAAATAGCCAAGATGAAAAGGAGAGCAGAGGTAATTAGCTTGAAGTAAAGAAATGACACAGACCCCCCACATACACACTTTCAAAACTTTTATTTATATAAAAAATTCATTTGTTTTTAAAAGCATTAACAAGAGAGAAAGAAAAAGACAAAGTCTGGAACAGAAGCCCTGCTCCTTAGTCATGTTCGGTGGGAAGGTGGGATTTTTGGTTCTCTGAAATTGAACGTTTAGTGTTTTAACAAACAAAGTAGAGGGAAAAAAATTAAAGGTCCCCAAAAGCCCAAGGCTGTTCTATTACCCACACCGCACCGAGAAAAAGAGCACCAAGGAAAAGAGAAGAAAAGGACAAGAGAACCCAAGAGTGAGCCAGATTGGGATGGGGTAACTCCCCTGTGCAGTGCGCTCTTAGGGTTACAGAGAGCAAACGGCTCCTTTTTGCCAGAAAAGGTGGATGAGAGTAGGAAGATCTGGGGTAGGGAACGGGCAAACAAGGAATTCTAAATGCTTAGGAAAAAGGAAAGGGGTGTGCACATTTCTCCTACCCCATAGCCTCAATATATAAGGGAACTGGGGAGAGGAGAAGGGTAAAGATTTCCAGTTGATTGAATTTTTAGATTAAGGGGAAGGAGACAGCAATTAAGAAAAAAGGTGGGTTTAAAAAAAAAAAAAAAAAAAAAAAACAATCAACTCACATAGCAGCTGATTTCTCTAACCCAACCTGCTAATATACACTACACACTGGGGTGGGGGAAGGTGTGTTGGGGTGATACAGTGGAAGGGAGACAACTTGCCTATAACCCTTTCAGAGATGATGGTAAATTCTGGGCAAGTGAGGAGTATGAGACCCACACCTGACTCCTCCCACCAATCTCATTTTAAGATTCATCAGAATGGGATTATTACTGCAAATGCCCAACCATATGCTGTTGAGCAAAAGCTTGACATTATGGCTGAAATTAGAGGCTATCCCAACACCAAAATAAAGAATCTGAGGTTCTCTAAGTCACCTCTCTTCTTTATGCTATTTAGGACCAACAATGGGTAGGAGAGCCAACAAAATATAATTTGTAAAATCATGAGAAATGAGACTGCAGAGGCAAAGAAAGGCACATGGAAGGGAGGGAGGAGATACACCCCAGGCCAAAGGCACAAAGAAGAGGCAAAGCCAGGGGCAACCCCCACCTTACAAGGGTAACAGGGACAGAAGTTATGTACATCAAGTCCTTTAGTTAGCCAACCCCAGGGAAAAGGTAGGGAAGGAAATAGGAATATAAGGATTGTAGGGACAGGAGAAAATAGGGCAGGGAAGGAGGGCGGGGAAGGGGAAAGCCAGTTTGAAGCTTCCTGCCAGTTTCAGACTAACTGCTTCATGTACATTCCAACTAGCTCCTCCTAGGCATTCCTCATCTTCCCATCTTTCTGCTCCTTCTCACTCAAAATTTCTTCCTTGGCACAGTTTCCTTTTTCAACAGTCTCTTGCAAATAGCCAGGCCAGGTCAGCAGACATCACAGGACGGGAGAGGAAAGCTACTGACAGCCTGAGTAAGGGGCAGCGGCAGGAACCCAGGGTTGGCATGAGGCTTGAAGAAGATATGGAGTCTGTAGATCCTTTATGGTCCCTGCCTCAGAGATGAGGAGAGGAAGGTCTCTTGATCCCAGTTCTCAGACACTCATTCGAGGGCCTTTGCCAGGTGGAAGGTGCCAATGGTGCCGGCCTTCTTTGCTTCAAAACTAGCCATTAGGACCAAAGGAAGAGCTTACACTCCCCTTCTCCAAAACCAGAAAAAGCCCCTTTCCCCACCAGGGAAAAAAGAAGAAGAACCGCAGTTGATCAGATACATATATAGCATGTGACCTCCGATTCTTCCCATGGCTTCCAGTGAGGATTTCCACTCTTCCCCGCCCTCCAGACAAAGTCAAGAGTTCCAGGGAGAGCTGGCAAAAAGAGCTAATCGGCAGCAGTTTCTCCAAATAGGAGAGAATGAGGCATCCTATGCAAAGAATTGAGTCAGGCTCTTTGGGAAAAACCGGAGGGGATTTGGAGTGAGGGATCAATTACACTTCACTGGAGGAAGTTGGAAGTTGACGAAAAAGAAGGTGGCCACTTAGGCTCTGAGGGCAGGAGGCAGCCTGGCAGTTGGCACAATAGTCCAGCGAAGAAAGGGAAAAATCATTAGTCCATTTCACCACCAAAAAATAAAAGTACATATATTATAAGCTCAGGTGCAGCGGAGATAGAGGTGCTAAATCTTCTGCTGTAGGGGATAAAAAGAAAGAGTACGTTATGAGTTGGGATTAGGGCAAACCAAAAAGACAGCTGAGCAAATCTGGAGGAAGGAAAGGAGCGCATAGCGGAGATCAGACCACCGATGCATATCCCAGACTCTTAAGAGGCAACAATCAGAGAAGCAGAACCCCTAAGCTCCACATGTGGGGCCGAGACTACTGTCTCTGGCCAGATCTGATCAGCATGATTGGCAAATTGCTGCTACACACGGGCCTCCTTCCTCTCTTGGGGGTGACTAGAGGACATACCATGGGGGGGTAAGAAACTCGGTCCCCCTCATCATCCAAAACCAACACAGCCAACTCTTCATCCAGAGAATCCTGCCCCTCGTCCTGCTGTGAACACATGCATTTTGTTAGTATGAGAGTAGGGAAACAGGAATCTTGTGAGTGTGTCCCAGACCGAGAGTACAGTCCAAAATCTATTAACTCAAAGTTAACAGTAAGAGAAAGGTAAGACACAGGAAGACAGGCAGGTATGAGGGCAGAGTAGTTACTGTTAGTCTTCTCAGGATCAGTAACACATGCACATGTGTTTTACTTTACGCCCCACCAACTCAACCACCAAAGAAGGAATACCAGCTAAAGAGTCAAACCCCTACCAGTAAACAATGTCTCTATTCCACAAAACACACAGGCTTCAAAACCATATATGAAGAGAATTTACCATCAGGGGTGTTCCCTTTAATGGCTCCATATCCCCTAGGTCCCCGGATCGATCCAGTGTTCTACTGTGGTCCCCTCTCTCATTCAATGTGGAATAGTTGTTATCTAGGTGGGGGGAAAAAACAGCAACAGAAAAATCCTTCTCTATCATACAATACATATCAAACAGTTAAGTGTGCATTAAGCCTCTGGGGGGAACTGAGCTTGGCCAAAGTTCTAGAATGGCATTAGGGTCTAGTCTAGTAGTCTCTAACTTAAAAAGAACTTGAATCTAATCGGGAAGACAATATATATGAAATACCAAGAGTATGCCCTATAGTAAAAATAAAGTCAAAGTGAAGAGCTCTGTATATAAAAAGTATTGGAAAGAGGATTTAAAAGACTCCCATAGGAAAGAAAATGGAAAGAAAAATAAATAAAAGTATTGAATGAAAAAAAGCATTAGCAAGTCAACCAAGTGGACTAAAACACGGAGAGAAGAGAGAAGACAGAGGGAAGCCTGAGCTCAAACTGTGAAGTGCTAAGAATAACAGTTTCACAGGATCAACTTGATTTTGCAGGAATGAGAGAGGCACTAAAAGCTTTTTGGACATCAGAAAACTGAAAAAATAGATGGATCTCAATTTTTTTTCATCCTTTAAAATGGAAACAAATAGCCAATGCTCTTCCAAGATGATGAGTGGCGAGGGTTCCTCTAGGAGAGAGGTCAAACCTAAGCCCGAGATTAGTTCTTGGCACCCCAACAAAATGTCACTCCATGTTCTTAAGCAGACATAAATCACCTACCCAATAATTTTGTGTTTGATCCCATATTGCTCATTTGAATTTCTTCCCGATCAGGTTTCTTATCTATATGGAGTCAGAAAGGTCAAAAATTAAGTCTTCAAAACCTAGACCCATCAAAAACCTGTTGCTGGTCTGTCTTCCCACCCTCCTCCTCCCTCAGCATTTAAATTTTTAACTGAGCCTGCACTATGGGGCAGGCATTACACTCTAGGGTTACAGCAAAGCCTTATTAGAGGAATAGTCTTCCCTAAAGACCCCTGAGAGAAAAGCCACTCAATCTACACCAGCAGCTGATGAAGACCCACAGCTTTCATGGGTGTGGCTTAGAGCAGTCATTATCTACTATAATGAAAAATTTAACACATTAACTTCTATAAACAGAATATATCATTAACAAATCATGTATAAAAAAATCTGTGTATCTTTTTAAGTTTGGCTTAATAAAAGCTAAATTCCCCTATCTGCTTGTGCATTTAAATCTATAGTCATATGTTGTTTAGATTAAAATATGAAAAAAACATCTGACCTCACACACTATATAAGGGAAAAGAATTTTAGTAGCCTTTTTAGATAACTGTAGATATTCTTCAATAGTACACCAACATTAGACAAGCAATTTCGTGTTAATAAGCAACATAGACTCTAAAGTCATATTAATGATCTCTTCATATGCTATTAAATGAAAACTCATTGATCTGTCTTGGATCAGTAACCCTGCATGATTTTGAAACATCATGCATTCATCACTTGGAAAATACTGGTTCATGGTTATGCAGATCTTCCAAATATTAACACAATTCACTATATAATATAAAAACAAAAAAAGCACATGTTGCTAGCACCACTGATTTCATTAGAAAAGCCTCTGAGTATTTACAGTTATCAGGCTCACAGTGGTAGATTAAAGCTTTCCAAAACTGTTAACTGTCACTTCAATGCGCAAACTTTATCGTGGACAACCAATGTTGACAGCTATTTTCCTCAAATGGACAGGCTCACTGTATTCATCCAAGAAAATGTGCACCAAACTCCCAAGTCTGAGCAGTCACACTTTGTCTGCCAGTTATCTTTCAAGTAAAAATAGTATCCCACAAAAAAGGGGGGTGAAAAAACCTAGCAACTCAAACAATAGCATAAGTGCTTTTCCAAGAAGCAACTATTACACTTTGTTGTTGTTAAGTGCTGTCGAGTCGGTTCTGACCCACAGCACCAATACTTTAGTAGGTGGTATAAGTGCTTCATGAGAACTTAGAAGTAGTTGTTGTTGTTAAGTGGTGCCGAGTCGGTTCCAACTCAAAGTGTTTCCAAGGAACGGCTGGGTAAGTTTGAACTGCCAACCCTACATTTCAAACCAACCTTAAGGTCCAATGCTTTATCCCACAGCATCACACCAGGACCTTAACAAAATTAACAATTTTTGCAACTTCATCAAATGAATTTTTGAGGGAAACTGGCTCTTCTTTCCTTTTCTTTTTTTTAAACTGTAAATACACTAAATGAAGAATACAATGACTAATGCAAGTTTGGTGCCTTTGCCTTAATTAGCAGTAAGTACCACCAGTGTTTTTGTGCCATCAGTATAAACATAACAGTCTTGGCGATTCTCAGTCCATGCACAAAGAATTTATGCAAAAGCCACGTGTCATTAAGAATGAAAAACAAAACACGGAGTTAACGGAAAAAGAGAATATTTTTCAAAACAAGATATATCATTCTTTTTGAGCCGAGGTGACAGGGGTGAAGATAGGTTTGCACTAATGGCAAGTGTCTAAAATGATCAAATGACAATAGTGATCTCCAGGTGAGAGAATTAAGTCATTGTGTATCATTTTTCTGCTATCTGTCTCTTGTAATGTTTGAACAGTTAGCATTTACTAATTGGCATTATACTGAAAATTAAAAGGAAAATAAACAAAGGAACTAGGGGTTCACTTTCCATCCATTTAAATCGACCAGGCCAGCGATTATAAATTCTAACTTTATAAATCTTGCATAAGATTTCCCTTCCTCTTCCCCACCCACAAAAGCCTCGTTCACTCAGAAATATCAACGTCTCCCCCGCCCATTCTGAATCAGTATGCAGAGATTCAGAGAAGGCAGGGCAGCTGCAAGGAAAGAGGCGTGCTCCCACGCCAGTATACCTGATTTCTGACTCCGGTCAATGAGCGGGAGAGTGCTATCATCATAGGAATGACTGCTCTGGCTCCGAGAGGCGTTGTTGAGATTCACCTGGAAGCAAACCCCAGAACACGGAATTTACCTACATCTTATTCCCTCCCTTCCAGGTTCACATCCCAATTTCAACTCATAAGGTTGCGCTACTTAGTGAAGCAACTAGGATATTACAGCTTTTAGTTGTATTCACAACCAGAACACGAACATTGCAAGGCACCAAACCCTCGTACAGGGAGGCAAAGACTCAGGAATAGTAATGTCCTTCAAAATGCTATGACAGATTGGGGGGGGGGCGGAAAAGAAAAAGACCTGGGGTACCCTTCCCCATGTCTCTCTACCAGGAGCACTTAGGGAATGTTAATGTTAGGACATCGAGGGAGACCAGAGCTGCTTCAGTAGCAAATGACCTGTAAGGTCACTTTTGAGGAGTAAACCAACAGATTTCCTTAGTGCTGAAAGGCTTGGACAGAAGACAACTCAGTGTGTTAATAAATTAGAACAAAACAAGACAGATGTATTACACTGGGATCGAGAATTTAAAAAAGCAAAAGCCTCACTCTTCAAAGTTCCTTCCCACTACCTGAAAGTCTGTTTTCTTCCATCCTTCCTTTTCCAGTGGCTTCCGCAGTTCTTTATAACCCCAGATGGTCTGTAAGACGAGTGCCGCTGCTCTAACCTCTTTCTCGGAGCGATTCCTTTGAGAAAAGCAACACCAGACGAAATATGGATATAAGACCAAGAAAGAAGCTCAACATGCTATCCTCCAATACAATTTAACATAAAACATAAATGCCAAAGTGGGCAAGATCGTTTTCTCCAAATCCTGTATTTTGTCCCAAAGATCAGCACAAAAAGCATTTGATGCAAGAGGACCTGTTGCCAATTTATAAATCAACATGGCAGAAAGCAGAGCAATACCTCTTGCCACTGTCCATGTACTTAGAAGGGAAAAAACTCAAAAAAAAAAAAAAAGGGTGGTGGTGGGGGAAAGCTCTTTCATATGCAAATGCTTCCAGTCATCCTTGGAAGTGGTGAGCTCACCCTGATTTGTTGATCAACACCAGCTTCTCAATACCCTGCGTTTCCCGAAGCTTCTTGGCAGCCTCCAAGTTCTCAGCAATAACCTCATTGATGGTGTTCAAAATAGAGACGACAGTATCCTCAGAGTAATTTCGGGAAGTGTTCTGTTGCCCACCTGGCAGATTCTTTACCAAGTTAGGAATAGCATGTTTACCTACAGCAGTTAGATAGAAAAAACATATGCAGGAAGGAACAAGCTGAGTCAGGCCAGGGGAAGTCTTAAAAATGATAACACCTAACTAAATGCACTAACTGATGAAACAAAAATGCTTAAGTACTACTCCACATAAATCAACTTCATTTTCCTATGGGTTTATCATATCAAAAGAGCCAAGGACCTGGAATAGATGAATTTAGTCTTCTTCCTATGATTTCTTCTCCCCTGCTTTATTCACAATGAAACCATGTAAATAATGTCTATTAAAAATGCTACCATCTTACCATGGTCAGTTGGCATAACATAGTCCACCAAGACAATGTTCTATACCCTACTATGGTGAATAGCATCTGGGCTCTTAAAAACTCAGGAGCAGCTATGTAAGGTAGATTTCATCTCTATATGCAGAAGAAAGAAGAGTGATGAAAATTGAAGATACTTGGAAACCACTAGCCCAGTGGACCAATGGAGCATGGAAACATCAGTCACCATGACTCTGAGACCAGAAACACTAGATGGTGCCTGGCTACCCCTACCAACCCCTCTGAAAAAGCTCACATTAGAAGGTCCCAGAAGAGTGAGAGAAAATGTGGAACAAAATTCAAAGTTATAAAAAGGGCCAGGCTTACTGGTCAGAAAGAGACTGGAGGAACCCAAGACTAAGATCCTCGACCACCCTCATGGTCTTGAAAGGAACTCACCCTCATGGCCCAATTTTCAGCCAAGCAGTAGATAGATATATAGGGGGACAGCAACACTAGTAAGGTATGCTCCCCATCGAAGGGTCAACCATTCAAGATCAAAAGGGCAACATTTACCTAAGGACAAAGCTGAGAAGGGATGGGACGGAGGGTGGGATGGAGGAAGTGGGATCACTGTTGTTGCATGGCGGGGATTGCAATCATTGAGATGAAACAAAGTGTAGCATTTGTTGAATGTAAAGCTGATGATTTTATCTGTAAACCTTCATTCAATTCATAACAAAAAGTGTTTTTAAAAAGTCTTTTCAGAAACTCAACTGAAAATATTTTAGCAGATCAATAGAATCCTTATGAATTAAACATACACACACAGAAATCTGGGTTCTGCTACTATTGTTAACTCTAGGAAAATTACTTAACATCCCTGACCCTGAGTTTCCTTTATTTGTTTAAAAACTTTTTAAAGGAGCCCTGGTGACACAATGGGGTTAAGCATTGGGTCACTAACCATAAGGTTAGTAGTTCAAATCCACCTTCATTCACTCCAAGAGAGGACGATAAGGCTTGGCTGTCCCCATGAAGACCTGTAGTCTGGGAAACACTGGGGAGCAGTGCTGCTCGGCCCTGTGTGGTTGTGGGTGGGAGTAAGTGAGAAGAGACAAGTGCTTACTTGATCACCATTCATGGTGACTCCATGTGTGTCAGAGTAGAACAGGGCTCCACAGGGCTTCCAAGGGCCTCTGGGTGGACAAAGGCCACTAACCTTTCCGTAAGTAGCCACTTGTGTTCAGTAAGCAGCCATGTGTGTCCACTGTTTGCTCCCCTCAGGGAATGCTCAATAAATAATCCCTATTACTAATCCATCTTTGAAGAGTGACCACTGAACTGCAGTCGTCTCCAGTCCCTGGATTCACAAGCTGTGGAGGACTCTTTCCCTCGGTCATTGTAATACAGAAAACAGGAAGCCTCTGCTCTACTAGATGGTAAGCACTCAACTCCTTACCAATCAACTCTTTGTTGCGAGCATCCACAGCCAGATTCCTCAGAGCTCCAGAGGCAGCTCTCACTACCCGCTCATGTTCACTGGTCAGGAGGTCAGCTATCGCAGAAAGAGCTTTCTCTTGACGCAAAGCAGAGCGGATATATCGACCATACTAGAAGCAGCACATGGAAAGAAGTGGAACAGATTACAAATTTCAGTAAACTAGCTATCTAAGTCCTCCCACGGCGATGCTATGAATGATCTGATATGGTTCTTCCAGCCACAGTCTTTGTAACTCCCACCAAATGACCAGGTGAGACCAGGCAAATACGGTGTATGAGCACTAAGGAGGGGACTGGTCAGTTTACCATCCCACTAGCTTCAAATGAGCCATCTCAGAAGCAGGAACATGACCTCACTACCACTGAGAAAGAAGAACCAGGAGCTGAGCATATTCTCTGGTCCCTGAGATCCCGGAGCAATGAACCTCTTCAATCCAAGAGGCACGAGAGCAGTGGCAGAGAAGCCTTCAGGCTGAGGCATATGGCAGCATGGTGTGCCCTTTGGGCATTTATCAACAGCACTAAAGGAACTCTGTATCACTTACAGAGGTCAAGGTGCAGCATGGCTCTGAGGCCACGGACAAGAGAGAAATGTGTCTACCGGAATGGCTGAGAAGGGGTGCTCCTGACCAGAAGAACTGTATCCCTAACATTTCTGGTCCCTAGTAAACCCCGTAATCATGAGTATGGTCTATGAATTCTGTGTATTCACTGCAATGCATTAGTGAAGCCAGAAGAAAAGTTGAGAATGCCTTGGGAAAGGTGGTTGTGTCAGAAGACTGGAGGACGGAGGCATGTCTGACCTCCGCTTCACAGGAATCAGCCTCGGGCTGATGTGAGTTTGCTTCTCCTTCTGCCTTGCGAAGTCAGAGGAGGTCAGACATCATGCCCACACTATTCTTATACTCACCTCCTAATCCATTTGCTAAAAGATACTCACCGTCCAGCGCCCAGCACACAGGTTCTGGATAGCTCCAGCAGAGGCTTCTAGGATAGCAGAGGTCTTGCTCTCCTTGAGGAGTGAGATGTATATCCGGACCACCTCTGGCTGAAACAAGAGCTCATAGCCTGCACAACAAGAAGCAAGAAAGCAGAGGGGGATAACCAATACCTACAAATCAGGCTCTGGCCAGTTGGAGCCCAAACTTAGTACTGTGGATGCACAGTGATGGTCCTATATCAGAAGGTTCCCAACACTCTCCACTCAACAGCAAACTCAGAGGTCTGCTTCGGTGCCTTAACAATGAGTTGTTGTGTTGTTGTTGTCAGGAGCCATCGAGTCAGAACAATAAGTAACTCATGGTAATAGCAGCATAGATGTCAGTTCATCATGTAGAACTCTCTTCTCTCTCATCTGACTTGGCTTGATCATGGGCATTCAGAGCATTTATTTAGCTCATTTGTAGCAATCAGTCAGTCAGTGTCAAAGAGTCTCAAATGAACAGGTAAGATTTAATTGGCTTAGGCTACCTAAGTTCCTAGTAGAGACTACCATGAAGACTTTACCCTTAACCTATCATCAAGTAATCCAGAGTTGTCTGAACAAGCAGCCCCTTTCAAGTTATTGCTACAGTCTCTCATAAGTTACTATAGCATTTAACACTTTCACTATCACTTCAAATCCATGAGTCAGAGAAGAAAAAAGAGTGAACAAGATCATATATACCTATAATCTGCTGTTAGGCTACCCAATACTCTATCTGTGGATTATGTTTATGAGACCCTTGGTGACGAGAAGAAAAAGCTAACTTACCTCGAGCAGGACTGCTTCTTTTGGGAAAGTCCACAGTATCGTTTGCTTGATCCTCTGTGAGTTTTTTCCCTTTGGAAATTTAAAAAAAGTAGGGAAGGGCAAAAGCTTAAGAAAGGAAAAAGACTCCAGCCTGGAACACTTTTTCATTCTTCACTCATCAAGATGGGCAAAGAAAACTCAGGGCCCCTGGGGGGCTTGTCCTAGCAGGGGGCCAATATCACAAGGCAACAGGGAAGTTAGGGTAAGCATAGCTGTGCTACTGCCCTTTGTCCTGATGACAGGGACTAGCATGCTATGGGCCTTTCACTCAGAAGAACTACACTGGTTTCAATGGTCTTCTTCCATGCATCACAGGGTAGGGTTAGGCAAGGAGACACTAGGGAATGCAAAACCAAATCATGCAAATTAAAAGTAGACAAGCGCCTTAAAAGATTCCACTCACCTCTGGAGAACCACTCATCTTCCAGTGCGTCACCCAAGTGGATGGAAAGCAGAGCAGAGATTGAAGGAAGAAAAACGCAGGAGAGGGATGTCAACGGGACCATGGGCAAACAGGCAGTAAAGCACAGAGGGGAAAAGAAAAACACAGGAAACACAAAGGAGGAACGGGGGAGAAGGCCCCAGATTAGTTGAGTTCTTGTCCTTCACTGACCCAATCATTGCTACCGACACCACACCACCACCACCTTGAATAAAGCACACAACACAAGGGAAGCAGCAGCAGAGCAAAAGACATCTCTGACCAAGCAGACCGCCTGCTTGGCACATACTTCGCACCTAAAGCTCAAGGAGCTCTTGCCTTTCCCCATACCACATTCAAGAGACTCACCTTTACCCTTTTTGGCCCCGAAGCAACTGGCAGCATGTGGCCCAGTATTGTTGGCAATGGTGGGAGGGGCCTCCTGGTAACGCTCGGCCTGCGGGATCTCCCGGTGAACTTGATATGATAAGTTCCGAAGAAGGCAAACGCAGTTCTCCACAAGCTTGGGTACATGAGACAAAAGGCTCAATGAGAAGAGAATGTCTAAAGCACAGGTTTTCATGACTTAAAAATCCTGATCCTGAAAATCACAGTCATTATCAACCATAAAGCCTCTTAAGCATCCTGAAGCTTGTCAAAATCCTTATAACCTCAGTAAGAGCCAACTGGGAACACACTGGCTTCTGCCACTGTTTGTTGTGTGACCCAAAATTGGTCACACTGACTTTTTCCTACTTTGAAAAATATAGCATCTTAAAAGTACAGCTAAGCAGCTTTAAAATATATTATTGTAGGTGAAGGAAAGTCTCAAGAAAACTGCTTTTCTAAGTTCCAGCTGGTATGGGTATCTGAAAATCTGAGTCAACAGCTCTACTACACTCCAGATACCACACGAATGAAATACACTTAGTCAACACTAACATACCTTGCTGTCTGAATCCTTCTGGCCAATCTCAGCCTGAACAATGAAAATGAGAGCATCAACTAAACCATCGCATTCCCGAAGTTTCCTGCGAGCTTCACTTCTCTCTGAGCTGACGTTCCTGAGGGGAAAGAAAGAAACCTCAAGATAATGCAAATTCAAAAATCATCCTTTAAGGAACCCTCAGCATCTAAAATACCTTTTCCATTCACTGTAACAGAGCAGGTACCTATTACATAAGTAAGGCAATGCAGGTAACACAAAGTTAAATCAAGATCATCCTTACCTTCAGAACATTTATAACCCTGACTATGTGGTAGGGACAAAGGGAAAAGTAAACAAAGTATCACAATAGCAATTATTAAACACACAACAGATATGCAGAGGCTTTAGAAAGTTGGGAATCCATTTTTCAATGAATTTTCTGAAGCCACCTCATACTTCTTGTATGGAAATACAAATGAGTACAAATGCAGAACAGGGTAAGCACATACCATTCCAAATAGGAAAACAACATACTCCATGTGTGCCTAGAGCATTATGGTTTTAAAGTACTATATGTAACAGGCTCAGTCAGACAGTAGCAACTCAAAAGATCACATAGGCACCTTAGGTAGGAATGAGTTTCCCCCTCAGAAAAGGAGGGGGAAATGGCTGCACAGCTCAGAGCAAGAAAGCAATGTCACTGAACTGCACATGTGGAAATGGCTGAGTTGTAGGTTTTGCTGTATATATTCTCAACAAAATTTAAAAAAAATTTTAAACGAATATATTTATAGGAAGAAGAAACCAGGAACAATTCATGCAATAAAGGCACTTGAGTTCAGCCTCAAAAGGTAACTATGGAAAGAAGGGCATTAGAGCAGAAGGAGGAACTGACCTCTCCATCTCATCTCCCAGGCGCCTGACATGAGGTGTGGACACCTGGGGGCAGGGTCACAGGCACAGACTGGAGAGAGGCCTTACACAGGGAAGTCCTGAGCTGAGCATGTTTATCAGCTTAGAGGGACAAAGATGGAAGCAGGATATGTGGGCAACGGCAGGCATATATGGCATACGAGAGGGAATAATGACAAAGATAGAAACACAGGTAGGAGACAGAGGTGAATGACAGAGAGAAATTTCTTTTTAAATCGAAGTCAGTCCTCAAAACCATCATGTTGACTCCCTCAAAGCCCCTACTGTACCTAAGGCAGCCAGCTGTGTTGGTGAGCACCGACTCCCACTCAATATGGCGAGGCTTACAGTCTTCACTAGGCTCCCGCTCCCAACCAGAATGTGGAATGATAACTTCATCCGTCAAGGCATGCAGTGCGTGGTCCACAATCTCCATTTTGATTGAGTCATGGGAAGAGAGATTCCATAGGGTTCCTGGCAGAGACAATGAGTCGACTAGCTCACCAGCATGTAAGACAGCATGTTTGCAGAATGCCAGAGAGAGAATCCCCTTATTCCATCACTTCTGTCTTCCCCAATCTCTTGTGGTGGTATTTGAGCTTTTGTTTATAACCCAGAATAAGAAATGTGTTTTACATTATGGCTCATTGCAAACATTAATAAAATTTCATAACTAGACCAGGGGTTGTCAAACTTGGGGCTACTTTGGGGCTAGAAAATTGTTTTGTGTGGGGGGGAAGCTATCCTGTCCACTGTTAAATATTTAGTAGTATTCTGGTCTCTACTCATTAGACACCAGTTGGTGTGAAGTGTCATCATGTCAGATTCAACTCAAAAAGATCCTGTAAAAGGCTTCCAAGGAGCAACTGGTGGGTTTGAACCACCAACCTTGAGGTCAGGAGTCCAATGCTTATCCTATAGCACCACACCAGAACTCCATCAGTAAGTACTCACAGTAACCAAAATGTCTCCAGGCTTTGCAAAAAATCACAGAACCCCACAGTGATATCAGAACCATTAGTCGACACTATTTGTCTTTTTTTCTTTTGGAATGTGGACTGTGATCCACAAAATTTTTTTCAATACTCACTAGTGGATTACAACTCACCATGTGAAAGACTATCACTGTTCTAAAACAAGGGCTATAAGCTCAAATATCTCTACAAGCCAGGTTAAGTCAGTCATAGCCAGAAGATTAAACGATAAAGGGCAAAGTTTGGGAGAACTCCTTCTATTTAGCAGTAGATAGTCAGAGATGACAAGGTGGGATTACTCAAATTGAAGAGTATATGCCCCAGTAAATTCAGACGAACTGCCCTGTAGGAAGGCAGATCTATTATTACTGACTTTTCCACGTTTTAAAGAGAAGTCTGGAAACTAGAATTGTAGGTGCAATCTCCTGAATTTTAAACATTAACCACCAATTCTTTAAAAATTTCAAAACCTTGTGTGATCTGTGAGGTGTATTTGGCCCAAGGGCCACCACCAGTTCACAAGCTCTACTCAAATGTGAAAGGCTGGACACCACTCTAAGCTCTCCATGTCTCTAGTGGGCAGCAGCTCCTGAAGGTCTAGAGCTCACCTGTAATAACTTCAGTAAGGTCCATATCACGAGCCTTTCGGAGCAACCGCACAAGAGCAGGAACGCCATCACAGTTTTTTATGGCAATCTTGTTATCCTGGTCACGCCCAAAAGAGATGTTCTTAAGCGCACCACAAGCTCCAAGGTGCACTTCCTTTTTAGGATGGTCTAACAATCCCACCAGCACTGGGATGCCCTTGAGCTTCCGCACATCAGTCTTCACCTTGTCGTTACGGTAACACAAGTGTTGCAAGTATGCAGCTGCATTGGACTTGACGGCATCCAATCGGAACCCTAACATAGCAATCACCTCTGGCAGCTCTGGCTGTCTCCAACTGGGTGGCGGGGGTCCTCCTTTGCGCAGGCTATCCAAGCTTGCTAAACTCCCCCTTTCATGCTGGGCCAAAGGAGCCCAGTAGTACTGGTCCGGTGGCACCTCTTCACCAATCATGTCTTCATAACTCCTGCAAGGTTTTAGAAGAACCAAACAAAACGGAATACAGCATGCTGTTAGGTCAGGCTTCCTGGGCATTCCTGCTACCCCTCAACTTCAAGGGAGGGGTTACCGAAGCTACAAAACAATGATCTTACATTTCCTGTACATGAATGATGTACTGATCAATTTTTCTTAAAGAGACAGAAATAATTAAGTTAGTAATTTTAAACTCACTACCATAAGTGGCTTATGACTCGCAGCAACCCTGTAAGGACAGAGTAAAACTGCTCCACAGGATTTCCAAGGATGGTCAATTTTCACAGGAGCACACGGTCTCATCTTTCTCTTTTGGAGCAGCTGGTGGATTTGAACTGTCAACCTTTCGGTTAGCAGCTCAAAGCTTAACCCACACCCACTGCACCATAGGGCCCCTCATCATTTCAAAGACACTTGCAATGAGATATGACCACTAGAAGCTCTGGTAGCATAGTGGTTACGAATCGGGCTGCGAACCGCAAGGTCAGCAGTTCGAAACTACCAGCTGTTCCGCTGAAGAAAGATGAAACTTTCTGCTCCCGTAAAGTTTTACAGTCTCAGAAACCCTGTACAGGGTCGCTGTGAGTCGGAACTGACTCCACGGCACCTAACAACAACAACATGACCACTAGGAAAGAAACAAGCTCTCTTAGAGGCTCATCACCAAGACAGACCCAAAGCTTGACTAGTTAGCATCTGAGATACCTGTCACCAACTTCTCAAGGTGGAGATTAAAAACAACCTTCAGGCAGCGGAGTTAACCAAAGTCTCAGAAGGCGGCAAACAAAGGCTGAGAACAGTTCTTACAAGCCTTTAGCCAAACAGGAAAGGAAGCATTTACACCAGGAAACAGCTGGTGGAGTAAGACCCAGAAGCAAACTTCATATTCAAGCTTCTCCCTACCCTAATCTGGAAACTACACAATAACTCCGAGTAAAAACATGAGGACCTGGCTTTGATGTTGATGAGGTCGAAGCCAGACATTCATTTTTATAATTCATCCCAGGGTCATCTCTGTTACTCAACAAGTATGCTTGAAAAATGGTTTCCATCCTCGAAAGTTCAAAGGCACTCACTATCTCCAATTCTGTCAAAACAGAAAGTACTGACTAATATAACATTTGGGAGACCCAACCACAAAGAAAGGTGCTCTGGTAGCGTAGTGGTTACGAATTGGGCTGTGAATCTCCAAGTCAGCAGTTCAAAACTACCAGCTGTTCTGCGGGAGAAAGATGAGGCGTTCTGCTCCCGTAAAGATTTACAGCCTCGAAAATCCTGTATAGGGTTGCTATGAGTTGGAACCAACTCCACCGCAAATAATCATCACAAAGAGGAGTCCTAGTGTGGCACCTTAGGATAAACAACCTCAAAATCGATTTGAACCGCAAGTTTGAAGTTCAAACTCACTAGTCACTCCTTGGAAACCCTAATTCAGGGTCCCTAGGAGTTAAAACCTACTGGATGACACTTAACAACAACAAAGAACTTCAGAGACAAAGGCAAAGCAATTGAAGGTAATGTCAACCTTGAGCTAATTCCTTCCTGTTTCAGTACTATCAACAACCACTAGAGGGGGAGTTTGTCACACTATTATTTATTCATAGGCAGCAGGAAGGAAGAGACCCATTATCTGTGAGCTCATCTCACTGGAAGCTCCCACAGGAGAAAGGGGAATCTATTGTATGAACCCTCCAAATAAGCCTGTTGTTTGTTTTACAAAACCACTCCCACCGTCACCAAACCCTCCAGGTTAGCCTGAACAGAGGTGGTCTCACAGGTGCCAACTAATCATTTCATAAAACTAAAGCCAGGGAATATTTACATACATAGGGAAAAACTGGAAGGATATGCACCAAAGTATTAAAAGTGGTTCTCTGTCAATGGATGGTATTCTTTCCTGGGTTTTCCAAGTTCTGTACTCAAACTGTTTCTTTTATTTTTTTAAAGGAAAAACTTATTTTTAAATAGCAGTTACAAAAGCAATTACCATAACCAAGATTATTAGGGTCACTCAGAGAAATCTACCTGGCATTTCCTTTTTACAGGCCCGACTCAGGACATTCTTTCCTTTGTTTTTCAAATAGCAAAGCTGAGCCAGAAAGATTAAATGACTAGCTTGAGGCCGTATAGCTAGTGGGAGAGGCACAATTAGAACCAAGGTCAAGTAGTCCAATGCTTTTTCCACTACCACTCTGCTTTTACTGGTTCAATTTGACCTTTTATTACTCTCCTAGGCCCGGAACAGGAAGCAGCTAATGTTCTTGCTAGACAAGCAGGTTCCCAAGTCCAAGGCAACTCTGGAACACATCCAAGGACCAGGCCCCAAAGCCTGTCTTTATAGTAAGTGCCACAATTATGCACAGCAGAGAATAGGACCTGCCCCATGCACTCCTTTGGGTCTAACCATGCTTTACTAATGAGGAAGTTTGCAAAAGCAGACTTGTACCACAGCCAACACCCTGGGCCCAGCTCCCTCTGTGGCAGTTTCTACCACTCACGGCTCTAGGCTGAACCAGCTGAGATCTGCTGTCCCTCCAGGAATAAAAGGTGAGTCACCATGGGAGTTGGATTAGCTATTCAAAAGACACCTCAATGGTGGGTGACTCAGGGTTAGATAATGAGGCCTCTACCCCTGTGCCCAACCTAGTTCACTGTTAACTAAAGCTACCTAGTCCATTAGGTAAACAAGCACCAAGGTATCTGCTATAGAAGGAAATTCAGCAATAGCTGTTAAGGTCGCCTCACCATCAAGAAAACCAGAAATTTTCCTTTGTTTCTTGTTTTTTCTCTTTGCCTGGAAATCCTGTCTCTAGTTTACTCAAAAGCAGGGCTCAGCAACCAGCAGGTCAAACCTGTTTTTGTACAGCTCCAGAATAAACAATGGTTTTCATATTTTTTTTTAAAAGACAAACATAAACAAGAATATGAAAACAATGATATATGTATGGTCCACGAAGCCTAAATTAGTTCTATCTGGTCCTTTACAGAAAAGGTTTGCCAATCTTCATTCTACAGCAAACTTGACTCTCAAGACAAGTCATCTTCCAGTCTAAACAGCAATCACCCCCTATTTCAAATCACCAAAGACTCCCAGAGACAAGCAGTACAGGATAGGCAGCTGCTAGTGACCTTTCAAGAGTGTCACTAATGGATCACCTCTAAGGATGCTGTCCCCATTTTACCTTATAATCAAATGCAGCATTCTAAAGAACACTTTGTAAGGGTTGTTTTTAACTTTGGAATTAAAACCACAGGTCTATTTTGGCTCTGAAACCTAAAACTTTCAACTCTCTTCTTAACACCAAATGAAAAGCTAAAGAAACCCAGAACAAGTTAAAGTATGTCTTCCGTAAGTCCAGTCAGCAGGCTCATTTATACTGAGGCAAATCTGCTGCACAAATTTTTTTTAAAGTGTTGAAGAGGAAAGATGTCAGCTTGAGGACTAAGGTGCGCCTGACCCAAGTCATGGTATTTTCAATAACCTCATATGCAAGCAAAAGCTGGACAGTGAATAAGGAAGACCTTATAAGAATTGATGCATTTGAATTATGGTGTTGGAGGAGAATATTGAAAAGTGCCATGGGCTACCAAAAGAACCAATAGATCTGTGTTGGAAGAAGTGCAGCCAGAGTGCTCCTTGGAGGCCAGGATGGCTAAGCTTCGTCTCTCCTACTTTGGACATATTGTCAGGAGGGACTGGTCGCTGGAGAAAGATATCATGTTTGGTAAGGTGGAGGGTCGAGAAAAAGTGGAAGACCCCAACGTGATGGATTGACCGAGTGGCAGCATTGATGGACTCAAGTGTGACAATAGTGAGGTTAGCCCAGGATTGGGCAGTGTTTCGTTCTGCTGTGCATAAGGTCGCTATGAGTTGGAACCAACTCAATGGCACCTAACAACAACAACATCCTGGTGGGGCATTGCAGGATAAGGTGCTGGACCACAAGGTCAGTTTGAGCTGCAAGGTCTGCAGTTCAAACCCACCAGTCACTCCTCAAAAACGCTATGTTGCTGTTGTTGTTGTTATGTGCCGTGGAGTCATTTCCGACTCATAGCGACCCTATACAGGGTTTCCGAGGCTGTAAATCTTTACAGGAACAGAAAGCCTCATCTTTCTCCCGTGGAACAGCTGGTAGTTTCAAACTGCTGACCTTGAGATTAGCAGCCCAATTTGTAACAGGGTCTCTATATAAGTCAGAACCAACTCGACCGGCACTTAATAATCACCAAGATGAGATCAGATCTTAGCCAGAAATAGCAGAATCTCTGGCATGAAAGTAAAGTCCACTCTTAAGGAAATATACCAATAACCACCACAAGTCACTTTCTATAATCAGACTATATGACTTCATGAGAAAAGACAAAGAACAGGACTGGCTTCTATTAAAAGGGGAAGAGGGTAGGAGGTGATCCCTAAAAACTCTGGGAAGTAGAAAAATGGTTCCGGCCCATATTCTTGCCTACCTGAGGCGTCGGCGAGGGTCAGAGGGTGTCCCGGTCCGACGGGCAGTGCCGTAATCAGTTATCATGCCATAATCCAGGTCATCGTAGCCCATGCTACGCTGGTCATCCTCTAGCCCATAAGGCTCTGGGTGAAAGCGATGCAGATCCACACTGCTGCCACCTACCCGGACCTGGGGCTGGGGCCCATAGACATCCTGTCTACTAGGTGCCCGGTAGCCCTCCATGCTAGGCCTGTACCGCTCATCAATGCGGGTTACCCGAGACAGGCTACCATAGTTGTCACTGCCACTTGGATAGCCGTCTTCGTAGTGACGACTGTATCCATCAGGGGGGTAGTGGAAGTTCCTAGGAAGGGTAGCAGTGCCTGCCTGCCCCACATAGGGACCAGGCCCTCCATTGCCATTCTTGCGGAAGTCTCGACCCAGAGTCTGGATGTAGTTGTTGGAGACTGAGGAGGCATCCACAGGCAGCCCATCTGGCCCCACAGGGACTGGCTGGACGGTCCGTGTTGTCACAGTCTTCACTACCTTCTTGACCTAAAGTAAGAAACAAGACACAGAAAACAGACTTGTGAAGAACAAAGTGATATTGCCTTAAATTCGAGAAAACTCTAAGAAAAGAAATAAAACCCTACACACACCTCCTCTCTTTCACTAAGAACTGCCTTAAATGTAGCACAAACCTTTCTTTTCAAGAAGCCCTGGGAGCGTAGTGAGATACGAATTGGGCTGCTAACTGTAAGGTCAGCAGTTTGAATCTACCAGTTGCAGATGAGACCTTCTGCTCCCATAAAGATTATCAGCCTCAGAAAGCCTGTACAGGGTCACTTTGGGTCAGAACTGAATCGAAGGTGCGCATGGTTACGTACCACAACCACCTTTCTTTCCAAGTAGGAAAAACTACCTTATAAAGAAGTAATGTTGTTGTGAAGTACCACTGAGTCAGTTCCAACTCATAGCAACTCTGTATAGAATGCAGACACTTTAGTTGGAAGTCCAACGCTCATCCTATAGCACCACACCAGGACTCCAAGCTAATACAGACCTTGAAGTACCTTCTCTCTTCCCCATGCTATCAAATTTCCCTGTATCTCTTCTCTATCTGGTCAGAGACCATGTTCTTTATGCCTTTCCCATAGATCATTGGCCTGCATCCACCCTAATTCAGTGCTTAACTCCTCCCCTAGTAGAGATCATAGAAAGACACCTTCTTTCACTCCATCTTAGCTTACTGTGGTTTCTGTGCGACGAGTAGTCCCATCATCAGAAGTCTCCACAGAGACAACAGACATGGCTCCCTCAGGGTCCTCCTCTGTGTAGGTCTCCACAATCTGCCCAGGCTCCTGCATTCTGGGGATGGTACTATACAGAAGGTGGCTGTGATCCTACATGGACAAGAGGAAAAGGAAGATGCTACTATTTAAGCCACATATTCACCTCACTGGGAAGCATCATGAGACTCTGGGGACAGGAATTCCTCAGGCATCCTCCATAGGCCACAGAGGTTATAGAGAGGCAGCTGTTCCCATCTTTTGAACTTTATTAAAGGACAATAGATGTCCCAATCATGGCCATTTAACAAACATGAACTGCATTAACACCACAGCCACATTGCAGCCAAATGACAGAGACAGCAAATTTAACTTCCCAGTTCTAAAGGAAGATGAACTGGTTTAACTGCAGCCACATCTACATCTGAGTGAGCTTTCAGAAGAACTTTGAAAATAAACCAGGAAAACTCAGTAAAAACCAACTCTGTTACTCTTCAGAGTAAAGCCAAAGGCTTTAGGTGGGATTTTCTGCAGACTAGAAGGCACTTCCTCTCTAGAAAAGGAATATAGTAATTGAGGAATCAAACAGGGAGGGGAGTAGTGGATGACAGAGATCAATATTCATCCCAAAACACAACCACAGATTTACTGTGGAGCTCTATGGATTAAAAAAACCAACGTTAATGAATCATTATCAATGTGGCATGTCCTTTTCAATACACTAATATGATCTTATTGGCTGGGGGAGTAAAATAGGAATGAAACCAAGCAACCTAAGCTTTGGGCCAAAACAATTACCTGGGGTCCGTTGAGTTTCAGATCTGAAAATTTCTGTCTCTCAAGGTCAGCATCGCCCACAAACCGGCCGTTCTGAAACATAGCCCACAAGAAGACAATTCATTTTGTGGCCTTCCTTTGCTCTATCAAACATAAATGACCTTTTTTTCCAAACAGGAAAAGGGCTTTCAAGAAGATATTTGTGGCCTGCAGTCCTTGTGTCAGTACTCATAAAAGAACCACATCACTCCTTAGTCTTAGCACTTTCATCAAAATTGGAATCAGGCCGGGAACTCTGGCAGACTGGGTCTGGAACATAAGAACGTAGGCTCCATTGAGGGCAAAGGATTTGGGGGCGTCTGTTTTGTTCCTGATGTATCCCTGGTGCCTTGAACAACGCCTGGCATATACAGGCACTCATAAACTATTTGATGAATAAGTAATGGAGACTCAGATTAAGTTCCCAACAGTCAACCTTTTTGGAAAACAGTAAAAATAATGGAAAGTTGGAAGGACAAGGTTGGGGGTTTCCCAAAGCTTTCTTTATTGTTCCATGTATCTTCACGCTCTATGACCACTGGAAACCCCCATATCAGGGAGCTTTTTAAAGAAACCAAGAGACATGAGTCTCCTTTCGAAATATTTAGAAGAGAGCAAAGCACCCCAAACTCCTTTTACGCAAGCAGACCCCTCGACATCATCATCAATTATCAGTCACAGAACATATTTAAGGCATCATTCTTGAATTGTTCTGTTTTATGTAGCAGCAAATAATCTAATGACTTTAGACCATGTAAAAATGTATTTGCCTGCTCCTCCTACAACAGAACGGAGTGAGATCCAGTCACCTTGGAAGACCCTCCCACTCCCTGACCCACCCCCCTTTACATAGGGAGTATTATGCTACAGGGAGAGGAAATTAAACATTACTTTCAGGAAGAAGGAAGGGTGTGGTATCAGTATCATTGCTGAGCACAAGTTAAAAATAAAAAAAGAAAGAACAAGTGAAAAAGAGAAATCACACACTAAATTCTGGATTCTCCATTACCCCGAGGCTGAACCCCGTTCTCAACCCTAATCCTCTACCCTAGTTCCTAAAAAATTCCTAGAACACTGTACACACACAGACTACTTCAAATTCCTAACCATCCCTCACTTGGAAATCTGTCTTCACAGCTCACAACTGCAAAGGTTCCTCAGTATAAGGGACCTTCTCCTCTACCTCAAATATAATTAAGGTATCAATGAAAGGGACTATAGGGTCACAGATAGACAAAACCTCAGACAGATTACATCACATTGAAGTCTGACTAAAGACACGTAGGAAATACAAGATACTTCTCTTTTTTTTTTTTATTACTTCTCATTTCTACCACAAACTCTCCCAAGTCACATCCTAGAGTCAACTAGCCTCAGAGACCACTGGCTCCTGTGGTTTTTGGGGTTAAACAGTAGCATGATCCTCCCTCTCAACAGCACTCCAACCCACAGCATGAACAATGACCCTTCCTCCACAGTCAACAAAAGACAGCATACTAGGACAATATGGAATGGAATATACAAAATACGGACATTGCCACACATTCTGAGCACAAATTGTTCCCTGAGGGAGGCTGAACTAAGACTGCAAGCACAAGATGCCCAGTTTCCCCAACCACCAAGCAGGAATTGACTCTCCTGAATTTTTAATACCAAGAAAAAAATCAAAGAAAGCAAAAGTAACTTAAGTACAGCACCAAGTTATACCTCAATACAGGAAGTCAGATGGAGGCTTTGGAGATAAATCCATCCAGTTCAGCACTGAGCGATATAATATATCTCTTGCTGTTGTTATTTATTACCCCCAGCTGCTCTTGCTGTTAAAGTGACTTCAAAGTCAGTTCGGACTCATAACTACCCTGGCTGCCTAGAGTTTCTGGGGAGCAGCTGGTGGGTTTGAACCACCAACCTTGTGATTAGCAGTCCAGTGTTTATCCTACACCACCACACCAAGACTCTTCTTTCCTCCTAGAATGGTCAAACCTCCTGGGGTGGTTTTATTCTGTCCTCTAGGGTCACTATGAGTGGGAATCAGCTTGACAGTGTGGCTGATTTTGAGGAAGGTTTATCATGAAATATGGGCAGTGAACAACCCATCACCATCAGGAGAGTAACTTCCCAAGAAGGATCTCTGTGACCCTGCTGAAGTCCTACCTGCAGGTCTGATAGAAAGAGGGGTTACCTGATGCCGGCGGGTGAGGGTGCCGTTGGCCATGAGTGGGTTGGCATCTTGCGGTGAGACCCGGACGCGTTCCAGTTGCGCCGAGACGTGGCGCCGTTCCTCCTCCAGCGCCCGGGTCAGCTTCTCAAACTGGGCCTCTTGCTCCTTCACAGAGGCCAAGATGCTGGCGGTCGACTCCACCTCTGAGTCGTCCATAACAGCAAGGGGCGGAGCCGCCGCAGGGCAGGGTAAAAAGGAAGGTGGACCACAGAGGGAGGAGGAATGAGGGAGACTGCCCCCCTCACTTCACACTAATGGGAGAGAGTAGGAAAGAGGAGAGAAAAGGTCACAGGTCAGAGAAGACAGATGAATTATTAATCCCAGAGCCAAAGATGCCCTCTCATGATTCTACTGCAGAGCAGAAAGCAAGCCACCAAGCCTGGGAGCCCATCACCAGTGTCTGCTAGGGCAGGATTCTTTTCCCATTACACTCTTGAATGTTGTTGTTGTTAAATGCCATCAAGTCAATTCCGATCCAAAGCGACCCTGTATAGGGTTTCCAAGGAGCAGCTGGTGAACTTGAACCACCGACCTTGCAGTTCAAACGACTTTGCAGTCTGACGCATTAGCCCACATTGCCAGACCAGGACTCAGATAGCCCATCAGAAATCACCAGGGAAAGGTGCAACTAACTAGAGCCAAATCTCTATACTATCTGATGGCGAGGGAGGATGTGGCTAAGGGCTATAGTCATGATGTGCAATTAGAATTGGAGTGTTTTCCCTTGAAAAACTTTGCTGGCAACAATTCCATGGTACAGACGATCACTATGCTGTCTGTAGAGGGGCAAACCATTCTGAGAGTTAAGGAGGCAGTACATATCTTACTTAATCTCTCCCAGGTCTTAACAATGGTAAAAATACTAAATTGTCATTGCTGTTAAATGCTATAGAGTCAGTTTCAACTCACAGCGACCCTGTTTCCAGGGAGTAGCTGGTGGGCTTGAAACACCGACCTCGCAGTTAGCAAGCAATCCAGTACTTATCCTACAGCACAATGTTAAATTATAATCAAAGCATATTATACTATCAGTACTGTAGTATACCCAACGAGATGGATTAGTTAAGTGGCAGCATTGATGGACTCAAGCATGGCAACAGTAGTGAGGTTGGCCCAGGATCGGGCAGTGTTTCCTTCTGCTGTGCATAAGGTCGCTATGAGTCGGTACCGACTCAATGGCACCTAACAACAACAACAACAATAACTGTAGTATAACTTTGAAAGATAGGTTCCCTTTCCTGTATTAAATATGGGGCTTTTAGATTGAGAAGATGGTCTTAATTTTGCCTCCCATCTTTAATGATGGAAACATTTTACAATTTTCATAACATTTCTTACTTGCATTTTAATTTAACATAGTGCTGGAGGGTAAGCACTGGATTGCTAACTGTACAGTCAGTGACTCCTCTAAAAAGGAGTTATTATTTGACTACAACAATAGAGAAAGTCCTGGTGTGAAATCCTCAAGGTCAGCTGCTCAAACTCACCAGCCGCTTGTTGGAAACCCCACACAGGGTTGCTATAGTTTAGGAACCAATGACTCAATGGCACTTAACAACAACCACATAACAATAGCCAAGTAAAAAGACGATGTGCAAAAAAAAACGCATGACTTTTGGGGACCTAGAAAAAGGAGCCTCAAGCTCAAGTCCTGAAACTGTCCCCCAATGTATTCCATGAGGACTGCCATCATCTCTGTAATCCACAGAAAGTTCTAAATCTTTTTTAGATTACAAGCCAGCGGTTCAAAGCCACGAGCCTCTCCACAAGAAAAAGATGAGGCTGTCTGTTCCCATTAAGATACAGTGTCAGAAACCCAGTGGTGCAGTTCTGCTCCATTCTATAGGGTCACTGTGGACTGGGATCAACTCGATGGCATTGGGTTCAGTTTGGATTTGGTTTTATTCTATTCTTATTCTAGCTCAGGGTAAATAGCCAGTATCTAAAAAGTTTATGTATTAGTTTTGAAATAAATGAATTATACAGAAATGAGGAACTCTTCATACTCTTATTCTATAAGTAACAAGTTGGCTAATAAATGAAGTGGCATGGTATTCATGCTCTCTTACAGCTCTGGGAGATTTTATGGCTAGTCCAAAATAAACTATGTTGAAAGGGAGATTCCTGAATAAACCTTCTCTCCTATTCACCACCCCCTCATCAACCCTTAAAGAAAATAGGCACTTAAAATAGATTTTCTTATTCTTAATAAAAATATTTCCATACACACCTGTTAAAAGAAGGTCGTAACTGATTGGTTTAACACAGAGAACAGCCCCGTCTAGATTCAAAAAGTCATGGGAGAAGCATCCCAGCCACCACAGCAAGGAAGGAGAGAGCTGCAGAAATATATGGAGGAAATGGAAAATGAGAGGAAAATAAAATACACCAACGCATAAAAATAAAAGGAGCAAGGGGAGGAACTAGGAGAAAGACACTCTGGAAACGGAAGGGAGTCATTTTTAAAAGTCTCGGAATTGCTTAATTTGCCAAATGTCCTTTGGATTTTGCTCTGCTTCAGATAACTGGGCCTTGGATACAGTTTCCAGAAAACTCCAATTCTACTGTCATGTCAGAGTTCCTCCAGCACCAAGAACAGATTACAATACGGATAAAAACCCACTTACACTCCTGGTGTCCAGCAACTCACTGTGGGGGAGGGCAAGGGGAGGGCTTGCTTTGGAATGCCCTTCCCCCTCTTCCCCACCCCTAAGGCAGAAACCTGGAAACCTAGTCTCAACATGCCCACAAAGACATTGAGAAACCAATGCAATAGTAGTGATGGAGAAGACATGTGGGGACTAGCCTAGCCTGAGTCTTTTTTACTTCAGCTCCCATTCCCACGCTCCCCACAGCCCCACCAAGCACAAATGCTGTGCCTGTTTGCCCTAAAGTGTATGCAGCATTCAGCAAGCAAGAATACCCAGGAGAAACTGATGAGGAGGCACCCAATAAACTCCTTCTATATCAAAAAATGGGTGAATTCTCCATCACTACAATGACTTACGATGGGCCCAGCCCATGAATCCAGGAATGTGTTGCTGTTGTTATTGTTAAGTGCCATCAAGTCAATACCAACTTGTATAATGATCTCTGTATAATGTTCCAAGGAGCAACTGCTAAGTTTGAACTGCCAACATTGTAGTTCAAAGGGACCTTGAGGTCCAGCGTTTACCCTACAGTGCCACACCAGGACTAGGAATGTGGAAGCCTTCTCTAATTTCTCTTACCCCAGTTCTTGGTTTCCACAATCATTCATCAACTCCTCTTTTAGTGTAAAACCTTGTGTGGCTTTCTCAAATTCCCAACCTATATTCAAACAGGTCACTCAAAGATCTTTAGTAAGTACCCTTATAAAACATGTTCCTTCACAATAAAACATTTAAAAATAAACATGTTCCTCCCTTTCATCTCCATTTCTTCATTTTAAGCACTTGCTCGTATCAATAATGACCTATGATCCTTCCACACCAAGAAGATTCTGAGCTCAAGAATCTTCCAGTGACTGAGATCCAAACTTACCGCTCTGGTAGCCTCAGTCCTATAATCTTTGCTAATAAAAGCTCAAAATATCATTCCCATGGGGCATACACAATGATGATCTTCTGCTGCAGAGAAATTGTCACCTTGCCATAAATGGCCCCATTTTGCCCCTACACATCTAATTCAGCAAAGGGGCTAGGAAGACAGACGGAAGGGGAACTACCAAGGTGTCAGGTCTGTTAGTATATGGAGACACATTTGTTTCTCCATCTCAGCTTTAAAGCTGACCACCTGCCCCTAATCTGGAGACAGTCTTAAAACACGGGGATATTTTCTTCCAGAAAGAAGGTGGCAAGGCCAGTTCTTTCTGGTTGTGTGGGTTAGAATAAGACTCAGAAGACTCATCTCAGAACTGGCCTTGCCACTAAGAAACAACTGTCACGTCCCATCTGCAAGATGCCAATACCACAACCAGCCCAGACTAAGAAAAGCTGCTGGGAGGATCAGGTGAGATAATGTATGCTATACAAATATGAGGTATTAAGTTGTTTCAAGAGTGAGTTTCTCTCTCCCAATTAATTACATTACTTAATAGTAAGGAATGCCTCAGTCCAAAACTATTTTGTGAAGATGAAATTAACTGGATTAAGAGCATAACTGGGTTCTAAGGAACAGATGAGCTGGTTTCCCTACTCTGACATTATTTACCAGGAGGTTCCAGCTAGCCTCGTGTTTCTGGGACAGACTGCTTCTCTAGTGCCTGGCAGTGGTTTACAGCATTCCACATCTACTACAGCACTCGATGCTTCAATTTGAAAAGTCTTAGAAGTTTATTACCAAAGAAAAAGGAAAAGTGACATGAAATTAACAATTACTGAAAGCCTTACATTTATTATTCTGACAGTCCTGAAAAATGTCCTACAGAAGTATGTTTCATTGCATGAAAAAACAAATTGTCCGAGGTCGCAGTTACTAGGAAATTTTACATTTATATCTAGGTCTTTGCCATTCCAAAGCTTGTGCTTTTTCTATGCCATTAAGTTCAAAACAATAGGAGTCCAATACATGATGTTCAGCACCTCTTCCCTATAACCTCTTTCTTCCCAACCGTCACAGATAAAGGAGGGACAGGGGGAATAGTTTCACTTTTCTTTAGGCTAAAGGATTGTCTTATTAAGTGCCATCAAGTCAGTTCCAACTCCAACTCATAGCAACCCAGTACAGGGTTTTCGAGGGAACAGCTGGTGTAGTTGAACTGCCGACCTTGCAATTCAAACTGACCTTGCAGTCCAGTGTATTAACCCACAACACCACACCAGTACTCCAGTTATAATATCTAGATATTAGGTATAAGTGGGAGAATGGAAAAAAATAAGAAAGAAATCTAAGTGGAGGAGTAACAGGAGTTAGGCGAGTTACAGTAACTGATCTCATAACTCAAAGATAAAGGTTTATTTCCATATTGTGTTATGGGCCGCTGAGTCAGTTTCGAGCCATAGCAGCCCTGTATAGGGTTTCTGAGGAGCAGCTGGTGAGCCATCAACTGCCGACCTTGTGGTTCAAACCAACTTTGCAATCCAGTGCATTAACTCACTGTACCACACCAGGACTCCAATGCAGTATGGACAACCTCCACATGTTGCTGTTGTTGTCAAGTGTTGTTGAGTCGGTTCCAACCCATAGTGACCCTGTATAGGGTTTCCAAGGAGCAG